TTAATTGAAGTTCTGAATATTAAGACTGAGATAACATAAAATTAACTAATATGTGCTTTCAATGCCCACATATAAATAATGAATTACAAACCACAATATTATTTGTAAATAGATATTTCTGCTGTTATACTTTCAGGTTTACAGTGGTCCATTTTTGTTGAATTCATTGAAATTGAATAAAAGTTCAATGGTTTCTGTCACTTTAGTTACCACAATTTCTTGTTTGATTACATCAGTTGGTGTACAAAGGATAAATAAATTACTCGGGAATTATGTAAGTAGAAGGAATTGACGATTTCAATAACATTGAAATCAAGTTAAGACTTTATTACTGAAAAATATTTCACATTTTGTTAAGCCCCGATTCATAACACTTTGGTTGACTACATTTTAAACCTCATTCATGATTTATTTGTCATTGGAATACAGCTTCATCTGTCTGTCTACAATCGCCAATGAAATATTAACAGGTTCTCTCCACTATAAACCGTTTAACGTAGTATTTAAACTGTTTCAAAACGTTTAGAATAATCTAAGTGTTAATAGATGTTTGCAAAAGTGAACTGTAATTGTAGGAGCTGATGAGGCTTCGATCGGGAAAGAACAATTCGAGTCTATAACTATAAGAATATCACACTTGAATTTCATGGTGTTGAAGATATCTGGACTGAGGCCTCACACGATGTTAAACAGAACACATTGAGAAATAATGCAGATGGTTTACGACTACATTTTGATTTGTCGGTGTCAACAAGTAGTCTGAGTAATAGACCGACATCGAGCCGAAAGGACTTAACTGGCCAAACGTCTCATGTGATAAAGGCAAAGAAAACAACTTGATCAATCAAACAGATTACAGCTTCAGTTATGAGTGAATCAACTGAATTAGTAATGTTACTCAGATACTGAAGAATAATCATAATAATTATATCGGCTGATATAGATGATGTGTTTGACTTACTCTGAGGAAGTCTCATGTGGCAGTTCGTATTGCAGAAGGCTGTATCGAAGTAACACACTTATGGGTAGCTTAACTCAAACACTCGGACATCTGTAAGTATCTGGAAGCACCGTCCAATATCCAGACATATGATGCAGCACATGAGTTAGACATTTTATCTATTACTTAATATATTTCCAACACTTATCTACTCACCACTGAATTCACAGTTTTCAATCAGACAATGGTAATTAAGATTAGAGTAGTTCTTTCATTATACATAGCTATTTACTCTTTACTCATGTAACGCAACGTTCAATCCAGTATTTCTGACGCAATCGTCAGTAGTTTCGAATTTTACTTAATTCATCACACAACTAACACACAATCGAATCACTTGAAATAATTTGTCCACATTCAATGGATTGTATCTTATCGATTTTAAGTGTAGTGAACAAGAACACGGGTGGGGACAATCGATTGTATTTGGCACAAAAATTACAGACTATCTCAATATAATGTGAATACCATAAAGTCAATCGTCAATTTGCAAAATATCATTCCATCATATCAAACTGTACTGTTCCCGTTGCAAACACTAATCCATTGTCTCCCATTCCATTGTACATGCGTTTTCTTACAATTGCATTGTGTTCTTGCACTTCCTTTCTTGATCTTCGCCATCTTCTGCTGCCGGACATTACGTTCTTTTAACGCACGTTATATACTACTTATATCAATATAAGTAGCCCACACCACATAAGGAGCTGCAGTTTTCCACATATGTTGGTCAATTAGTCATGATAAGTGAATACACAGAGACGAAAACTCACTAATGAATAATGAAACGAAGTAGACACTGTGAAGGTGGATTTCGTTACTGATTGATATTATCGATAGAATCATGCAAAATCAGAGAGTATTTACTATGCAGATAACGAGTTCTAACTCACAACTAGGCAAGAGCTAACTCACAAACACATTGGTGCTCATCTTGTATTCCTTGACATTTTAAAATTTCGGAGACAGTTGACAGAAAGCAGTAGTAATAGATATCATTCTGACTAGGACTTGTGAACAGAGTGTATGTGATGTCTTCACGGAATCGATACATTCTGTAGGATTCGAATTTGTGACAAACATAATCAAAGCTACAAATAATACCACTGAGACAATAGTATTCAGACTGACCACTGAAACATAACTCATTATGGTATTAAAGTATTCAGAGTGGAATTTTAAATGTTTATCGCTAGTTGATATTACTCTAAATGATCAATTACTCATCTTGCCTATGATTGACTTGACTTGATGCAATATATTCTTGCGATGGCTTTACTATTCATACGTGAATTTCGATGAGCATTTTGAAGAATTCAGCACGTTTGTCTATCTTATAACATGATCACATGATAGATATATACAACTTATATCTCCTTGAGTGTGTAAATGTTCCACTAAAAATCGTACATGCCTTTTTAATTGTAGATTGGCTCAATCGTCGGTGTTCTATTTGTCCTTGTATTTTGTACAATCGCTTACTCTTTAAAACCAGCCGATGAAAGCCTCGTAGCACTATATTTTGCTGCAGCTATTCTTGGCATTGGAAACACAATCAATAATGTTCGAGCACTGGTTGTGATCGCAACATTGATCGGTGTAAAACAAGTACACACGGCAGCATTTGTTCATGGGATCGCATCATTGCTTGACAAAATCTTGACTGGTGTCTTCATTCAATGCATACAACTCTGTGTACCACAGTTAACTTATAGACATATACAGGTGTATATTGTAGGTAGTTTGGCAATATTCGGTGGTATTCTAGTGACAATTGATAATTTCATTTATTCAGAGACTTTAGAAAGTACAGATGCACCATGTCTTTCATGTTTTTGTCGAAGAACAACTTCATCGTCGCCTCCGTCACCAACGAAATTTCAGAGTGACAAGGTAATCAATTCTAATATCCAGACCTCCCATCATGGTGTTAGCAATGAAAAAGAAAATAGCGATAACTGTAGATACTAATCAACATATTTATTTATCATTAACACAAACCAAAAATCTCTCCTCATAAAACATATCGTCTCCATTTTAAATTTCTCTACCAATAATCAATGCATTGGTTTATTCCTGTATATTCACCTACTCTTCCTGTCAAAGAAACATGTCTTAACATTTATTCCGGCTAATTATCACGTGACTTATTTGCCAATCGAAATACCACATATACAATGCAGCACAAACACTCGGTGTTCTTGTATTCTGGCGAGTGTTATTTTTAGATAGTTCATGTGCTATTTTATTCGCTGTACATATTTGGTTAAATCTGTGTCCAATGGGAGATGGCAAAGCCACAGATGATAAAACATACGGTTGTCTACTCCCTATCACACAGAATAGGGCACCCGTTGTTCAGTCTTGTATATAAAGCAGGCGGTTGTTTGTAGGGATTGTGTTCGCTGATGCCATCGCCATGGATTATCGTGGAGATCGTTTCCCTGTTATGTTAAACCTACAAGGTCGTATACACTTCCTTGTTCTATAGCCATACATTTGATTATACCAGCATATCGATGGAGTTAGACGTCTTCTGAAAAATGATCGGTTTCTGCCGTGCGAGCTATCTTGCAACCATCTTCGTGGCCTTTCATTCTGTGTTAATTATGTCAGTCTGAGGCACAAAACATTTATCCCTTTCTGAAGCGTATTGATCCTGTCATCTACCGTCGTGCTGTGTAACTGAGGTCTTATTTGCTTAGTTCTTTCGTATATCCTATCGGTTATTTTTGCCATATTTCTATATCGGTATCGGTATCTCCGACGGCTAGGATCTGTTGTGCATTCAATGGGAGATGGCAAAGCCACAGATGATAAAACATACGGTTGTCTACTCCCTATCACACAACAGAATTTTCATATATTTTTTAGCAGTGACGGAGTCCTATCTCCCATTTCTACTTGAGTAAGAAGCTGATCAACAGTTTATTGGTCGGTTAGAGAGGCAGTGTTAATTACAGCTTGCTTAAATACGTCGTATGGCCTCTCGGGGTCCGGTTTAGCTAACGCTTCTCGTACGCTATCCGCCTCTTTGTCTGAGAGGAGTGTGCTTGCGGTTAGACGGAAAATAGTTTTCGAGTCTAATAAACCACAGTCGTGGGTCAGTGATATTAAAAGAGGGAATAGAGAGATTAGGAGCCTTCACGGACAGCGTTTACGGTTAACTTGACACTGTATTTTCGGAAGACACGTTCATAGAAAATAGATGGTACATGAATAATGTAAGTGTAAAAAAGAGAAATGGACCGATATCAACAATGATAATAACAAATGGTACAATTTAAAACATAGAACAGACTTATTAAATTGCACCAGTATATCAATTGTTTGTAAAACATCATTGTTATATCCAATAATGTTTATGAAATAACGTTCGTGTAATGAATATAATGATATAATAAATTCGCAACTATAATTATAATCCAGATAATGATCCGAATCAAGACAAAGTGAGTTGAATTTTTGAAATTAGATTGTACGTCGAAAATTGTTTCGTGTTCGCAAGTTGGAGTCACCAATTCTGTATTGGCTGTGTTTAGTTAATCAATCACATTGATAACCGTTATTATATAAATTCCAAAGGTGTTTGAAATCAGACGGTAATAAGAAGTGGCGACTACAGTTTATTAGTGGATAGCATAGATAACAAAGTTACAAGCACATCGAGCAAATTCGATGCAGAGATGCAAATGTGTGTGTGAGCAAATACAGAGACGAATTTATAATCAAATCGAATCAAGGTGAAGCAAGGCTAAGCAAGAATATTCATAGGATTTAAGTACACATATACACGGGACAGTAACCCTATACTGATAATGGTTATTCCAATTTTTCATAAGTTATACATACACTTGTTATAACGTGAAAAATAGTTGCTGATTAAGGGATGCGAATTATTGATCGGACCAAAGACGCGCAAACACGTAGAACGACCTAGGGTTCTGATTGGTCTCGCTTCCCTGTATAGCCCAGCCAATTGAGTCCAGAACGCAAGTCACAGCCTCGGATATATGAATCATTATATTTCAAACATACTTGTTTATATACCAGTCAAACAGTCCACAACGTACCATAAAATAGAAAATAACATTGTACAATAATGACCAGTAGGAAAATAACACGCTAACTAAATATTGACCAATAAGATGATACTATTTCATGTCCAAGGATAGCATTAGGCTTAACAGGATAATTTTTGGGATATTTTCCTGAATATCCCAACACCTCCCTTTTTTTGGAGATCCGGAGTTGATGTCCGGATTTTAAATTTTTCTCGCGTCTATCCTCCCCCTCGAAATAATGTTGGGTCGTCATAAACCCAAGGAACAGTTAGTGTGACTCTAATTGAAGCATATTTCCCGCGTTGAGTAGAGAGTCCACTAGAACTGACTAGATGGTGAGGTTCAGCGACAGTAGATCTGAGGTCATTAGGGTTTAAATCTTTAGTAAGTAGTGGATCATTATGATAATCGGTGTCCAACAAAACTGTACCAGGATCTTGGTTATTATTTGATGCGTGAAACACATTTTCTGGCAAAACAATGAGATCTTCTCGTGAGCTGGATATGTTACTGTCTGCACATGCTGTTTCGGGGTTGATGGGGTTTGACTCCATTACCGGGCATGTTTCTGAAATAGAAAGTACTGGACCACTGGGCGCATGATGGATGACTGTTTCGTTTGAAGTACAGTTCATCGAGGATTCATGGAGGCTGTTGTCATTTTCCAGCTCACTGTGTATTTCAGATATCAATTCATCCACTTCCGTCGCGTCTTCATAGCATGAGTGATTTAGCAGCTGCGTGCGGAATTTGACTAATAACTCCAAATGTCGTTCAAAGAGCAGCTGTAATCGATCGGAAGGGAGAGTCATTTTTTTGAATCAGCACTTGTGATGAAAATTACTGTATGACTAATGACCAATGTGGTTCAAGGACACTGATGACAATCTGGATAACTGATTGGTTGAATAATTAGACAGGATTTCGTCCAATTACAGAATGACTTTGGATTGTATCTTTTCTTCACCCCGTCGCCAATTGTTATAACGTGAAAAATAATTGCTGATTAAGGGATGCGAATTATTGATCGGACCAAAGACGCGCAAACACGTAGAACGACCTAGGGTTCTGATTGGTCTCGCTTCCCTGTATAGCCCAGCCAATTGAGTCCAGAACGCAAGTCACAGCCTCGGATATATGAATCATTATATTTCAAACATACTTGTTTATATACCAGTCAAACAGTCCACAACGTACCATAAAATAGAAAATAACATTGTACAATAATGACCAGTAGGAAAATAACACGCTAACTAAATATTGACCAATAAGATGATACTATTTCATGTCCAAGGATAGCATTAGGCTTAACAGGATAATTTTTGGGATATTTTCCTGAATATCCCAACAACACTCTTATAGGGGGTGGGCATTGTAGTGTTCAAGAGTTTTCATAACTTCACATTTAATAGTTGAGTTTGATCAGACTTTCAACAAAAAAATATTATCAATAAATTTATCTCTTGTCTCAACGTCAGTATCCGGAATTCTTCGAAAATTAGTTTCGGTCATAAAATAATTTGAATGTAGATTGCATGAACATGGAATATGTTTTGAGGCTAGATTTTTGTCTAATGGATAATTTACACCTTTTAATTAAAGTTCTAATAACCACGATTTCCAGAAAAACTAATGAAAGTTTGAAATAATATTCACCATTAATAGAACAAACAGAAGTGTAACCTTATTGTTTATTCCATGTTATCTTCATTTTTAGCTATTTTCAATTCTTTCTCATCTAAGAAGTAACTCTCAGCTTTTGATTTCTTCTTTCTTGCTTTCTTTCTTTCTAATAATAATCAAATGAGTTCTGCAAGCAGACAACAATTGCATTTCATTACACTAATGATTTTACTTCTTGTGACGTTGAGTTCTCAGTCTTCTTACGGATGAATTACTGAATCCTAAAACTTGAAGCTTAAGTACAGTGACTATTTCCGTTCCCCACCACATCGCTCTCGGCACAATAATCAGGCAGATAGATTTTTCGATTTGCTAAAACAAGCTATTCTAAAAGAATAAATCTGAGGATTGGATGAAGCAATGCGGCTAAACAACCCTATACTTACTTCTGTTATTAATAATAGTTTACTTTAGGATATCATACCACATATACAATCTCTTAACCGCATTCAGTTTTAAGAAACAATGATGGAGACCTGTAAGTGCTGTGAACAAAGGTGAATGAGAAGCCAAACAGCTCTTCTAGAGTCACTGCCGGTCCCACGCACGGGTAAAGGAGGAGGGTTGAACATGGGGTTAGCGAACCAATCTCGTTGAACACTAACTCGCTATAAAAACGCTAACCAGAAAAATTAATTCAAACCATTTAAACTCGGTCCTGGGAGTTAGAAGGTCTTCACTTAGAAGACCTATGACGCCTCACGGTGAAAGTCGAGTTCCTTCGGAAGCCACGAGGCCTGTGCCCATTCTAACAATCAAAGCAACAACTTTTATAGGTACATGGAACGTCCGAACAATGTGGGAGACCGAGAAGACCAGTCAAATAGCAACGGAAATGAGGAGATACAACTTGACAGTACTGGGAATCAGCTTAACCCACTGAACCCAAGCTGGACAGAAATGGCTAGCTATGGGAGAGATGCTACTATAATCCGGTCACGAAAAGGAAAATGCTCCACACACTCAGGGAGTCGCTCTTATGCTGTTCAAAGTAGCACGAAATGCACTTGTAGGATGGGAATCTCACGGATTCAGAATCATCAAAGCATCATTCAAAACAAAGAAGGAGGGGATCACAATGAATATTATCCAATGTTATGCACCCACCAATGATAGCAACGACGACGAGAAAGATCAATTCTACGAGCGGCTGCAGTCAATCATAGAGAAATGCCCAGGAAAGGACCTCACCATTCTAATGGGAGATCTAAACGTCAAAGTCGGAATAGACAACACCGGATATGAAGATATCATGGGACGACATGGATTGACTGGGAGAGAAAAACGAAAATGGAGAAAGATTTACAAATCTGTGTGCATTCAACAAATTGGTCATAGGAGGCACAATATTTTCACACAAGCGTAAACACAAGGCTACATGGATCTCACCGGACCACACTACAGAGAACCAGATAGATCATATTTGCATCAACAAAATATTCCGAAGGACAATGGAAGATGTGAGAACCAAGAGAGGAGCAGACACAGCTTCAGATCACCACCTAGTTGTGGCCAATTTAAAACTGAAGCTGAAGAAATACTGGACAAGTGGACAAACAGCACTACAAAGGTTCAACACAGCCTTCCTTCAAGATACCAACAAAATCAACGAATTCAAGATAGCTCTCAACAACAGGTTCCAAGCCTTACAGGATCTACTGAAGGAAGAAGAAACTACTATGGAGGAAAACTGGAAAGATATCAAAGAAGCACTAACTTCAACGTGTCATAAGGTTCTGAGCCTAAAGAAGCACCATCATAAGGAATGGATCTCTATAGAAACACTGGACAGGATCAAAGAAAGGAAGAACAAGAAGACAGCAATAAACAACAGCCGAACACGAACGGAGAGAGTTCAAGCACAAGCTGAGTACATAGAAGCAAACAAGCAAGTGAAGAGAAGCATTAGAGTCGACAGGAAAAAATACGTGGAAGAATTAGCAACGACGGCAGAAAAGGCTGCAAGAGAAGGAAATATGAAACAGCTTCACGATACAACGAAGTAACTAGCAGGGAAATACAGTAAACCAGAGAGACCGGTCAAAGACAAAGAAGGCAAGCCAATCACTGAAATTCAACAACAGTGGAAAGATGGGTAGAATACTTCGAGGAACTCGTGAATAGGTCGGCTCCAATGAATCCACCGGACATCGAAGCAGCACACATAGAACTTCCTATAGATGCCAATCCACCAACGACGGAAGAAATCAGAATAGCGATCAGACAAATCAAGAGCGGGAAAGCAACAGGACCTGACAATATACCAGCTGAAGCACTGAAGTCAGACACCGAACTAGCTACAAACATGCCTCACCTGTTCAAGAAGATTTGGGAGGAGGAACAGATGCTGATGGACTGGACAGAAGGATACCTCATCAAGATTCCAAAGAAAGGCGATCTGAGTAAATGTAAGAACTACAGAGACATCACACTACTGTCAGTACCAGGGAAAGTCTTCAACAGAGTTTTGCTAAACAGGATGAAAGATGCAGTAGACGCTCAACTTCGAGATCAACAAGCTGGATTCCGTAAGGATCGGTCGTGTACAGACCAAGTTGCAACATTACGGATCATCGTCGAACAATCAGTTGAGTGGAACTCGTCAGTATACATCAACTTCATTGATTGTGAAAAGACGTTGGACAGTGTAGATAGGAGGACATCATGGAAACTTCTTCGACACTACGGAGTTCCTGAGAAGATTGTCAATATTATCCGGAACTCATACGACGGATTACAGTGCAAGGTCGTGCATGGAGGACAGCTGACAGACACACTCCAATAAAGGACCGGAGTCAGACGAGACTGCCTACTCTCTCCCTTCCTCTTTCTTCTGGTGATCGACTGGATTATGAAGACCTCGACATCTGAGAGAAAACACAGCATACAATGGACAGCTCAGAACCAATTAGACGGTTTGAACTTCGCAGATGACCTACCCCTCTATCGCATACACACGGACAGATGCAGATAAAGACAGTCAGTGTAGCAGCAGTCTCTGCATCAGTAGGCCTCAACATACACAAGGGGAAAACCAAGGTCCTCAAATACAACACGGAGAACACCAATCCAATCACAATTGGTGGCGAAACTCTGGAAGATGTAGAGCCCTTCACATAGCTGGAAAGCATCATTGATGAACAAGGAGGTTCAGATGCAGACGTAAAGGCGAGGATTGGCAAAGCAAGGGCCGCATTCCTACAATTGATGAACATATGAAACTCGAAACAACTTTCAACCAATATCAAAGTCACAATCTTTAATACCAACGTCAAGGCAGTCAGTTCTACTGTACGGAGCTGAAACTTGGAGAACTACTACAACCACCATCAAGAAGGTACAAGTATTTATAAATGGTTGTCTACGCAAGATACTCAACACCGACTGGCCGGATACCATCAGCAACAGCCTACTGTGGGAGAGAACAAACCAGCTTCCAGCAGAAGAAGAAATTGGGAAAAGACGATGGAAATGGATAGGACATAGATTACGCAAATCGTCAAACTGCATCACGAGGCAAGCTCTAACTTGGAATCCTGTAGGATGGCGGAAAAGAGGAAGGTTAAAGAACACATTACGTCGAGAAATAGAAGCAGATATGAAAAGGGTGAATAACAACTGGAATGAGGTGGAAAGGATTGCCCAGGATAGGGTTGGATGGAGAGTGCTGGTAAGCGGCCCATGCTTCTTCACGAGAAGCAACAGGCGTAAGTAAGTAATCAATCAGTATTGGGTATTTTGTATAAGTTTAGTAATTTCGATTTCATGATCCACATGAGGTTAAGTGCCATTTGGCAAATTATTTGCTTACTAATTCAGTCATTATAACATTTTATTAATCAGTTTTGCTGTCATAGTAACTAGAATGTACTATCATGGATAAATAATAACAAATATATATTTCAAGTAAAGTAGAAAACACAGTGGTACGTAGGCTAGAAACAACTGAGCGTTTATTGATTTACTCAATATTTATTGACCTAAATAACGTCGACCAAACACCTGATATCTGCATACTTTGTAAATATTAGTTTATCTCAAGTTTACGCAAAATTTCAATTAAGTTTATTCTTATTCCATGTTATCTTCATTTTTAGCTATTTTCAATTCTTCCTTATCTAAGAAGTAACTCTCAGCTTTTGTTTTCTTCTTTCTTGCTTTCTTTCTTTCTAATAATAATCAAATGAGTTCTGCAAGCAGACAACAATTGCATTTCACTACACTAATGATTTTACTTCTTGTGACGTTGAGTTCTCAGTCTTCTTACGGATGAATTACTGAATCCTAAAACTTGAAGCTTAAGTACAGTGACTATTTCCGTTCCCCACCACATCGCTCTCGGCACAATAATCAGGCAGATAGATTTTTCGATTTGCTAAAACAAGCTATTCTAAAAGAATAAATCTGAGGATTGGATGAAGCAATGCGGCTAAACAACCCTATACT